ACACACACACACACACACACACACACACACACACACACACACACACAGAGGATGACTATAAAATTGCATAACAACAAACACCTACTCTCCATTATCATCTTCACTGATACACATCAACACACAATCACCCACACACTGAAGCAACAACGTCTCGTAACACAATTCCTTTGACTCACACTCAGCTGTAGCAGCTGCTGCCGCCACCAAACACTCTGTTTACCAGAGTTTAGAGAAAACAGCATCAGTGACGAGTCTTCTATCGCATCTGTGTTTTGTGTTGTTTTAGTTTCCCTTGTCTTTCTGAGTCCTCTCTCAACAGTCCAGTCAACAGTTATTTGACTTGACATTCAAATAAGGGCCAATGTGTTGGTGGCCATTTTTAAGAACAAGAGTGATGTACAGAGTTGTAGCAACTACAGGGGAATTAAGTTGATGAGTCACATGATGAAGATCTGGGAGAGAGGTGTGGAAGCAAGACTTAGACGAGAGGTGACTATCTGTGAGCAGCAGGATGGTTTCATGTCAAGAAAGATCACCACAGATCCATCTTTGCTTTGAAGATGATGATGGAGAAGAACAGAGAGGGTCAGAAAGAACTCCGTCGTGTCTTTGTGGATTTATAAAAATCATCTGACAGGGTGCTGAGGGAGGAGGTGTGGTGTGACATGAGGAGATCTGGAGTGGCAAAGAAGTATGTTAGACTGGTACAGGACATGTATGAGGACAGCAGGACATGTATGAGGACAGCAGGACACATATGAGGACAGCAGGACATGTATGAGGACAGCAGGACATGTATGAGGACAGCAGGACATGTTGAGGACAGCAGGACACATATGAGGACAGCAGGACAGTGGTGAGATGTGCTGTAGGAGTGACAGATAGCTTCAAGGTGGAGGTGGGAGTGCATCAAGGATCAGCTCTGAGCCCCTTCTTGTTTGCTCTGGTGATGGACCGACTAACCAATGAGGTCAGGCAGGAATCCCCATGGATGATGATGTTTGCAGATGACATTGTGATCTGTTGTGAGAGCAGGGAACAGGTGGAGGAGAACTTGGAGAGGTGGAGGTATGCACTTGAAAGAAGAGGAATGAAAGTCAGCCGTAGTAAGACAGAGTCCATGTGTGTGAATGAGAGGGAGGAGGTGGAACAGTGAGGCTACAAGGAGCAGAGGTCACAAAGGTGCAGGACTTCAAGGACTTGGGGTCCACTGTCCAGGAACATGGGGAGTGTGGTGAAGAGGAGAAGAAGAGAGTCCAGGCAGGATGGAGTGATGGAGAAAAGTTTCAGGAGTGATTTGTGACAAAAGGGTGTCAGCAAAGGTCAAAGGAAAAGTTTACAAGACAGTGGTGAGACCAGCTCTGTTGTATGGTCTGGAGACAGAGACATGGACAAAAAGACAGGAGACAGAACTGGAAGTGTCAGAAATGAAGATGTTGAGGTTCTTCTTAGGAGAGACAAGGATGGAGAAGATCAGGAATGAGATCATCAGAGGTACAGCACAGGTTGAACAACTGGGAGATAAAGTTAGAGAGGACACACTGAGATGGTTTGGACATGTCCAGAGGAGGGACAGTGGTTTGGACATGTCCAGAGGAGGGACAGTGGGTATATTGGTAGAAGGATGTTAGAAATGCAGCTGCAGGAAAAAGACAAAGAGGAGACATATGGATGCAGTTAGAGAGGACATGGAGGTAGTTGGAGTGAGGACAGAGGACACAGAGGACAGAGTGAGGACAGAGGACACAGAGGACAGAGTGAGATGGAGGAGGAGGACTCGCTGTGGCGACCCCTGAAGAGGGAAAAGTCGAAAGAAGAAGAAATATCTGAGGAGCAGCTTTGAGTTTAACTCCATCACTGAACTCTCATCTTGAACAAGCATGAAGGCGACAGTGGAAAGAAAAACTCCCTCATGAGGAAGAAACCTTTAGCAGAACCAGGATCAGGACAAGAGGACCATCTGCTTCGACCGGCTGGGTTTGGTAAGAACAGATACACAATGGCAGGTCAAAAATCACATGTTAAGATAGAAATAGTATCAAATGAAAACTATTGAATTTTAACAATTCATTTAAGAACAGAGGTCAGTTTGTCCTCTAGTAGTTTAAGTCTATAGCAGCATAACAAGCTGACCCTAACTATAGGATTTATCAAAAAGGAAAGTCTTAATCCCAGTCTTAAACTGGACAATGTGTCAGCCTCATGGACAGAAACTGGAAGTTGGTTCAACAAGAGAGGAGCCTGAGAACTGGAAGAACTTCTTCCCATTCTACTTTTGTAAACTCTAGGAACCACAAGTAAACCTGCAGTCTGAGAGCGAAGTGCTCTGTTAGTAAAATATGGAACAATAAGATCTGTAATATAAGATGGAACTAGGTTGTTGAGAGCTTTGTAGGTTAGAAGTAAGATTTTGAATTCTATTCTGGATTTGACAGGGAGCCAAAGGAGAGAAGCTAAAACTGGAGAGAGATGATCTCTCCCAGTAACTCCAGTTAAGACTCTGGCAGCAGCATTTTGGATCAACTGAAGACGTTTTAAAGAAGTATTTGGACACCCAGATAATAAACCATTGCAATAGTCCAGTCTAGACGTGACAAATGCATGGACCAGTTTTTCTGCATCATCTTTAGATCAGATGTTTCTAATGTTAGTGATATTACGCAGGTGGAAGAAGGAGGTTCTAGTAACGTTTTTAATGTGGGGGATAAAAGACGTGTCCTGATCAAAAATAACACCAAGATTTTTAACATTAGAGCTGGAGTAGAAGAAAGCATATATATTGGGAAAAATAAATGAAAGAAAATTATGTAAAAAAACTAATAAAAACAGCTAGATTACGAGGCGATGTAGAAAACTAAAAGCAGGAACATCTACAGGAACTTATCAGATGTTTGAAGCCACTTAGAGAGGTCAAAGGTCGAGAGCTTCAGATCTTTTTACAAGATATTCCAGGAAACAGGAGCGGAGTAGGAGAAGGTCCTTTTGTCTAGTTCAGTCCTCACTGAGGGAACACTGCAGGTAATGATGTCCTGAGAGCGCACGCTGTAGCTGCACTCACACAGAGACATGTAGGAGGAGATGTATGAAGGCAGCAGACCAGGAAGTGATTTAAAGATGGAAATGTACCAGTGGGAGAGTCTGTGTGGAGTTAATGGTGACCAGTTAACCAGTGGATACTGGGTGCAGTGGTGGGTACGGTAGTTACAGCCAGTTATGACCCTTAGTGCACCATGATAGACAGCATCCAACATCTGCAGCATCCAACATCTGCAGCATCCAACATCTGCAGCATCCAACATCTGCAGCATCCAACATCTGCAGCATCCAACATCTGCAGCATCCAACATCTGCAGGGTTCTTGTAGGAGCGTTCATGTAAATAATGTCACTCGCTTTAACATTTGAGATTTTTACTTTTTGAATTATTTAACTTTATTTTCATAGTTTCATCCTTCAAAAAACTTTGTTCCTTAAAATCGTCTTCAGTACACCTGCTCCGCTTGTCTTCTTTAACTTTAGCTACAGTCTAGCTAATTTTAGATTTACATTCAGTTTGATTGCTTTTAACTTTTAGCTTTAGCTGGTTTTGTTTTTGTTAGTTATAGCTACTAATTTGAGTAAAGAAGTAGGTAAAGATAGTGGACGATGGATAGTTTAAAGTAAATTTTGTTGCAACCCAAAGTCCAAGCACGGTACTCGTCACTGAGACATTTTGTGAAGTTGTGCGATAAGAAACATGACAAAATAGAAATGAGTGATTTATTGTCAAAGTTGTATTAAACGCAAACTATTTTTAACCACACAAGAAATTGTTTGCATACTCTAAAAATCCTAGATGGTTCATCTTGGTGGGACTCACCTGTGATGGTGATCTTGGCCGACCACTTGGAGGTGCCATCCAGAACGTTCTGCTTGATGATCTTCATGTGTTGAGAGTGGTCCATCTTGGACACGTTGAACACTTTACGGATTTCTTCAAAGATCTCAGGTTTGTTTCTTTCGCGGATCTTCATTCTGTCCTTCATAGCCATGATGATGTGTTGCGTCCGGTTCTCCGCCCCCGTCTTGGAGCTCTTCTCCGCAGCCCCTGAAGAGAAACACAATATAAATAAACGCACAACAAGAAGCGACGTAGGTGTGTACGAAGTTTCAATTAGACCCTCTTTAGATGGTTTTACCCAAAATAAAATACAAAACAGGTTAAATAATGTCGTATAGAAATGTTTCATCTTTCATCCGAAAGACTTCATGAGTCTGAGGCCTGCCAAGTAAGTGAACTTTATTTATATAGAACTTTTCATAGACACAATCACAAAGTGCTTTACAAAATACAAAATGCAGGCTTAAAATAAAACAACAGCTGATGAATAAAAACAGAAAATAAAACATTTAACTAAAAGCTTGTCTGAATAAAAGTGTCTTAAGCTGTTTTTTAAAGGAATCAACAGAGACGGCCACACGAAGAGACAGGGCAGGGCATTCCACAGTCGGGGGCTACGGCCAGAAAGGAAAGGTCACCCCGAGTTTTGAACCGGGTCTTAGGGACCTTTAGGAGGTTCAGCGCTGAAGACCGAAGGGTGTGGGCTGGAGAATAAGGGATCAACATTTCAGTGATGTACTGGAGGGCCTGTCCATTTAAAGCTCCAAAAGTTAAGACCATCCATCCATTCTCTTTTACCCCCTTCTTCCATTTTGGGTCACGGGGGTTGCTGGTGCCCATGTCCAGCAATCACAGGGTCTTTTTGTCTGTCTAAACAGATCTCACTTGTAAATGAGTCTTCGATGCTCAATGTGATTTATCTGTCTAAATAAAGGTTGAATTGAATTGAAAAAAAATGACACCTCCTTGATGTGTTTCAAGCCAACCCTCTGTGGAATCCAAAGAAACCTGAACCAGTCTGAGTCATTTTGGCCTTGGTGTTCCTCAGGCTGTTTCTGTGAGTGGCAAATTGGCCATCTAGCCTAAAACATTTGGCTGTTATGCACTGATGATTGATTGTTGAGGATGGATGGTCCCCCTTTTTGCATGTGTGAAGCTAATTTCTTTGGATTCCACAGCAGACTGGTTTGAAACACATCAAGGAGGTGCTATTTGTGAGACAGATCTGGTTGGCAGGCCTCAGACTGATTAAGTCTTTCGGATGAGAGACAAACTGCTTCTCCCTTAAAGAAACTGTCTAGATGACCTGAGAATATTTTTTTGTGATTTATCTACCTGGATGATTGAGCTTACAAACCTTTTTCCAAAATAAAATACTTTTCAAACCATTTTACAAAATAAAGTATTTTTTATAAACCTTGTGATAAGGACAAATGTGCTTTAATTTTTGGTTAGGAGTTTATCAAATTAACTCACTCTGCAGGCAGTCAGCATTCAGGAGCTCCTGGCATTTTTCGTGAACTTTGACCCCACACTCTGCACAGCGCATGCCCTGCCGGGCGAGGCCCCACAGTAGACCCTCACACTCATAACAGTAGGTGGGTGTGGTGGCTGTCCACACCTCAAAGTTGTGCGGTGTGGTGCAGGAGATGGGGTAGATCAGAGCCTGCAGGGTCTTCTTATAAACGTGAGTGTTCTGTCGAAGCAAACAAACAAACAAAAATAATATAAACAGAAATAGGATTTAATAACATCTATGGGATACTGAAGAAAAAAGTTTATTAGCATCTACGAAAATGTTTGAATAGCAATACAAAATACAACCCAGTATGTATTGAGAACACATCTAGTACAAGCCTGGTATTTTCACTGTAGGTAGCATGTATGCACCCAGAAAGTACCAGCTATGTACATAGTAGGTATCCTGCAGACCAGGTACTTAACCAGTACGTGCCTGGTAGGTATTCTAAATAAACCAGATATATACCCGATAAGTGGAGGGAAACATGTCAGGAGACAGAGGGAGAAGAGGAAAGTGAAGAATGTAGGACTGAGGGTTGCAACTCTAAATGTGGGGACAATGACAGGCAAAGGTAGAGAGCTGGCTGACATGATGCTGAGAAGGAAGGTAGATGTTCTGTGTGTCCAAGAGACCAAGTGGAAGGGCAGCAAGGCTCGCAGCATTGGAGCAGGGTTCAAACTGTTTTACCATGGTGTGGACAGAAAGAGAGAAGGAGTAGGGATGGTCCTGAAGGAGGAGTTGGTAAAGAATGTAGTAGAGGTGAAAAGAGTGTCAGATAGGGTGATGTGTCTGAAGGTAGAAGTTGAAGGTCTGATGCTAAATGTTGTCAGTGGTTATGCTCCACAGGTTGGATGTGATGAGGAGGAGAAAGATACATTTCGGAAAGATCTGGATGAAGTGATAGAGAGTATTCCCAGGGAGGAGAGGGTGGTGATGGGAGCAGACCTGAATGGACATGTTGGTGAAGGAAACAGAGGATGAGGAAGTGATGGGTAGGTTTGGTGTCAAGGAAAGAAACCAGGAAGGACAGATGGTGGTGGATTTCACCAAGAGAATGGAAATGGCTGTAGTCAGCACTTATTTCCAAAAGAGGGAGGAGCATAGAGTGACCTATAAGAGTGGAGGAAGGAGTACACAGGTCGACTACATTCTGTGTAGAAGAGGAAACCTGAGGGAGATTGGAGACTGTAAGGTTGTGGCAGGGGAGAGCGTGGCCAGACAGCATTGGATGGTTGTGTGTAGACTGACTGTTGTTGTGAAGAAGAGAACAAGAGTCAAATCAGAGAAGAAGACCAAATGGTGGAAGATGAAGAAGGAAGAATGTTGTGAGAAATTCAGAGAGGAGCTGTTAAAGGCTCTGGGTGGTAAGAAAGAGCTTCCAGATGACTGGACTACTACAGCCACAGTAATTAGAGAGACAGGTAGGAAGGTACTTGGTGTGTCATCTGGACAGAGAATGGATGATCAGGAAACCTGGTGGTGGAATAGTGAAGTGCAGGAAGATGTTCAAAGAAAGAGGTTAGCCAAGAAGAAATATGACAGAGAGAGGACTGAAGAGAGGAGACAGGAATATAAGGAGATGGGACGTAGAGCAAAGAGGGAGGTAGCTAAGGCAAAGCAGAAGGTGTATGATGAGTTGTATGGGAGACTGGACACTAAAGAGGACGAGAAGGACTTGTACCGATTGGCAAGACAGAGTGATCAGGCTGGAAAGAATGTGCAGAAGGTTAGGCTTGTTAAAGGTAGGAATGGTAATGTTCTAACGAGTGAGGAGAGTGTGACGGGAAGATGGAAGGAGTACTTTTAGGAGCTAATGAATGAAGAGAATGAAAGAGAAAGAAGAGTAGATGTCATAGAAAAAAACTGTGGACTGATTTCTAGATTGGACCATTAATTTTATGTTATGTTTTCATTTTTACTTTATTTTACTTTATTATTATTCGCACCTTTATGTCGAAGCAAATTCCTAGTTTGTGAACCTCGTTCATTGACATGGCAATAATAAACTGATTCTGATAATTGTCAACAACCCGGATGTCCAACTGAATCAGCTAAGTTTATAGAGAGAAGACCTGCTCCATTTAAGGTAGGATGGATTCCGGTGGTGGACTATTAACAAAATTCAAACCAAACTTTGCCTGTAAACAACTGTCCATCCCGGTTTCCCACACCAGCTTTGAGCTGAGCGTTTTTGAACTGGGACATTCGCCTCCACTTCTGTGCACTCTCGTCTACCGCCCCCTCGATCCAAGGACTTCACAAGTGAATTCTCTGATTCCTTGGCTGAAATCACACCAACATATGACAACGTTTTAATCATTGGGGACTTTAATATTTATATGTGTTGTGTTCGTATTTTTATCTAGGCTGACCGTGGGTTTTTTGATCTGCTCAGAGACGGATTATAATGAAATTATGACCCAGTTCTGACTGGTTTAAATGGGGCCAGCAACTCTAAAAAGAGTCTCCCAGGGATTCAAAATCCGTCAAGGAATAGTTTTTATTTGTTCTTTATTGGCCCGCTGCATCACTTAGAAAGGTTTTTCCTGCACCGTATCATTTTTCCTGACATGTCAGACCACATAAGATCCACTGAGATCACACTTAGCCGTCCGGCCCCTTATCCACGTGATAGGCTGTGCTCCCCTCTGTGAAGGAGCTGTCTAGGCCCTATATATATATTTGTAATGCCATGTGACATCCGGCCCTTCCGGTCCAGGATACTGCGTTGTGTATCGGACTGGCCAGTGCTATAAACTGTAACCTTCTCCTGCCTTGATTTTTATACAACTGGTAAAACTTAATTCACATTTCCTTGATTTATTGATAGTGTAAGTGCTACTTCTGAGGGAGGTCTGAGCCAGTGGGGCCGCGTGAGCTGGAGACGGACATGGGGTCTGAGATGAGGACGGGGGCCCACAGCTAGCAACAGCTGGCTGCAGTAGCTTGGGGGGCCACAATAGCTCATGCTACAACAGTTGTTAGGAAAAGTCCTTAGTGAAGTATCTAAAAAGTTACGTCAGGTCCTCTGGACGGGTTCAAAAAACAAAAAAACGTGTAGAAACGTTTCGTCTTTCATCTGAAAGACTTCTGGAGTCTGAGGTGCTACATTCACTCAGTCTTATAAATAGCACCTTCTCATAGTGAATCAACCAGTTTGCTGCTGACAGCCAAAACTACCGTATTTTCCGACATACACATTGGTCCACCCTATAAGTCGCATCAGTCCATATTTGTCTAATAAAGTGGAAAAATCCATGAACATGTTGCATCTATTATGTGTCACCGCTGACACGTCGCGTTTGTTATGCGTCACTGCTGAGAACCCGGAAATGTGGATTGGTGTTGTGCCAAAATCCGATGGGCTGCCAAATGGCAGCTGCGAAAGTGTGCATGGGAGGACTTTAACAAGAATTTAACAAGATTAACACTTAAAAACAATTATTTGTGTGCTTGAAATTATATTAAATGTGTGTCTCAATCTAACGTTTGCTTAATAAATGCACTTTGAGGGTCAAATCAGCTGTATTTCAAAACCTGATACGCGGAAGTAAACGTGTGCACGCGATGAGTCGCTGTACAAATTTAACAAAATAAACACCTAAACAATTATTTGTTTGCTCGAAATGATAGCAAAGGTGTGTCTCAGTCTAACATTTGCTTAATAAATGCACTTTTAATGGTTAAATTAGTTGCATTTCGCCGGGACGGTGCAGCTGTTTTGATGGCTCCAAGCAACGAGCAGAATGAAGGTGTGGAGTCTATGGCAAGCCAATTAAGTCATTAATAGCTGGTGGAGATTCTCAGTCATCCAGGACATGGTAAATTAAAAAAAGTTCAAGGAGAAAAAACAAAACAAAGTATAAAGTAAAGTATAATAAATAAAGTCCAGTTGTTTTTGTCTTGAACTTTTTTCACTTTACTACTCCCTCAACATTTGATACTCCCTCAACATATGGAATGACCACTGGTCTGGGTTCCTCCTTTTCACCTGATGGCTGACTGGAGTCCTGTTTGGGTTTCTTAATGAAGCCTTTCGGATGAAAGACGAAATGTCTTTACAATTTTTTTGTTTTTTGAACCTGCCCAGAGGACCTGACTTAACTTTTTCAGATTTTTCTACCTGGAATATTGTGCATGCATCAGGATACCTTACTGGATGACTTTTTAGATTTATTGGACTCCTTCAATTTATCTCGGCAGGTAAATGGTCCCACCCAGGAACATGGACACACACTGAACCTGGTGTTATCACGTGATGTTTCTGTTTCTAATCTTGAAATTGGTGACAGTGTGTTTTCAGATTACATGCCCATGCTATTTGAATTTACCTCTCCCTGTCTCACTGCTGAACCGTGCGCTCCTGCGCCGTGCAGCCGGGCCATTAACCGCGCAGCTGCTCGTTTCACTGATGTTTTTAACTGTGAAAGGATCGAGCAGCCCTCGGTGTCTCCTACCACTGATGAGCTTTATCCTGTGTGTTTAAATGTTTTGGACCATGTTGTTCCTGTTAAAACCAGAAAAACGAAACTCAGATCAGAACCGTGGCTGAATGACGTCACTCAAGCCGTTAGACAGCAATGCAGGCGGGCGAAGTTCAGGTGGAGGAAAGACCGGCTGCAGGTTTCTTTTCAAATGCTAAGAGAGACTTGGTGTTGTTATCAGAAAGCAGTAAAATTTGCTAAGTCTTGATACTTTTCATATATAGTTGTCTCCAACTCTCACAACCCCAGAGTTCTTTTTTCCACCCTGAACTCAGTTCTTCACCTCAGTGAACCTTCACCTCTGGAAGCTTCAACTGTGTGAAAACTTTCTCCATTTCTTTTTAGAAAAAGTTGTGAACACCCAGGCACTCATTTCTCCACCAGCTCATGATCTGTCCATCTCATCTCAATGTGCAGCTGTATCTGACCACTTTGAGCCCATCTCTGCCTTTTTTGGAGCAGGTAATGTCCAGCATGAAACCATCTGGTTCCTCTGATATGTTCCCCCTCACCTTCTAAAAGAGATCTTTACTACTCTGGGTCCTCTATTAGCTCTATTGTGAACAGCAGTTTAACTTCAGGTGTGGTGCCTAAAACTTTTAAACATGCTGCTGTTAAAGACGGGAGCTGGCTGCGGACCACCGGATCTGGAAACCCCCTCCAGCCCACGTCTTTACCCCCGGCTCGAACCTCCCTCAGAAGTGGCACTATACTAATCAATAAATCAAGGAAACGTCAATTAAGTTTTATCAATTATATAAGAAAAGGCAGGAAAAGATTACAATTCACAGCGCTGGACTCTACAGTTTGTGATGTGTTCACAGACCCGGAAGAAGAGCCTCGATGTCCCGTGTCATTACTCATTTATGGGTTCCTAAGACTCCGCCTTCACAGAAGGGGAGCTCAGCCTATCAGTGTATGAGGGGGCGTGGCTAAGTGTGGTCTTATGTGGACTGACTGTTAGGAAATATGAGACGGTGCTTCAAAGCCTTTCTACGTGATGTGGCAAACAGATTAAACTATTTGACTGATATTGAAATCCCAGGGGGACTCTCTTGAGAGCTGCTGGCCCAGTTTAACCCAGTCAGAACCGGGTCATAATTTCATTATAATCCCGTCTTTGAGCAGATCAAAACCATAAAACCAGTCTAGATTAAAAATATCTTAACACTGCTGTTCAACCTCTGCTAAGAAAACCTAACCTTGACCCCTCAGTGGTGGCCAACTTCCGGCCTGTCTCCAGACGCCCATTTGTCTCAAAACTACTGGAAAAAATAATTTAGTCCCAGTTGAAATATTTCTTGGAGGATCACGCTATCAGAGTTATTGCAATCTGGCTTCAAATCTCTCCACAGCACTGAAACTGCTCTACTGAAGGTTTTTAACAACATTTTTATATCCACAGACGCTGGTGATTCTGTGCTGCTTGTCCTATTGGACCTTACATCTGCTTTTGACACCATCGACCACGAGATCCTCATTTCTAGGTTGGAGCCGTAGATGGGCATCACGGGGTCTGTCCTCAAATGGTTTAGATCAGGGGTGCCCAATACGGCTATTGCGATCTACCGGTAGATCGCAAAGGTAATATCAGTTGATTGCACGGCAAAATAGATGTTAGACTTTTTTTTTAAATTTTTTTTTTTTTTTTTTGAATAGACGTCAGATGATCAGTCCATCTTCACTAAGCAAATTGTCACTTGATGGACATACACGTTAGCCAATCAAAGACTGGATCTTTTTTGATGCATAGGTCACTATGCATGTGCATTCAACAGAGCTAAAAACAAACAAGTTTACTCGTAATAGCCTCCAGTTTATATCTAAACTCAAGTAAGTGTGTAAAATGAGTTGGAGAGCTGGACCAAGAAAGAAGCAAAAAAATCTACCATTTCCATATGAAATGGGGGAGGACTTTTTTTTCACCTGTCATATTCGAAGTGCGTTTCACTGGAGCGGCATTTTTGGACTACCGGTATATTCATAAATACTACGGCTCTGACTTCCTTCTGAAAAGTGAGCTGAGATAGGAAAACAGTGAAGGAACTAGAATCCCAGTTATCGGGACTGCAGTCATTTTTCTTACAGCTGACCAGCAGCGAAGCATCAGTCCAGGTCAGTCACTTTAATAATTGTTAAGCACAAGAAGTCTTTTCAAGACGGAGACATGGTAAAAGAGTTATTTGTTGAAGCAGCTGACTCGTTCAGACACTTTAAACAAACCAGAAATATTATCTTCATCAAAGCTCTTGGATATCAAGAAATACAGTTACAGTTAAAAGCAGCTGCTGTCAGGGCTGAGTTTTCACTTTTGTTCTCAAGATATTTTTCAAACATGAAGTTATTCTTGTTGTATTCAGTTCCTTTGTGTGAAGAACAGAAGTTATTGCTGGGTTTTGTCTATTATTTTGTACGCGGACAGTAAAAACTAAACGGTCACTTTTTTTTAAAACTTTTTTTTGCGTTTTTAGAAACAAACGACTAGAGTGGGAGGAGTTACATTTAGAAACAAA